TGACTGTGCAGCTCTCCCTCTGTGACTCTGACGTCACATCTCTGCAGAGTTCTCTCTATCGTCTTGGGAGCAGAATCTCAATGGAAGGGATTTTAAAAGGCTTCCATCCAAGCCTGAGCCAAGGGCAGAATCTCCTCTTCCCGGACACCTGTGGATGTGCCTGTGGGTCTCCAGACCCTCTGACTTCCACTGACTCTACCTTTCTGAACCCTCCACATCTCAGGCTCTGTTGTCCATGTCTCTCTTTCTCTCCAATGTCTCTGCACAGTCAGGGTCGCCAGGTGGACCTCTTCTTTCTCCAAGCCTTAGTCCTCTCCACCACCCAACCCTGATTCTTGTCACTAAGGGGGGCAACCTGTTGTCCTGCCTTCCCTCCCCTCATTTCCTGCCCTGGGACTACCTGGGGGGAGGTTCTCCATGCCTCCCCTGCTAGGAATGAAGGGGAGTGGAGGAGGGAGACAGCGAGAGGAGGAGGGCAGGCTCTGTGGAGGGTTGGTTCTTGCCCAGGAAGGACAGATTGGGCTGTGAGGAAGAAAGATGAAAACCTTTTGGAGGAAGCAGTCAAATAGCAGACATCTGTCTGTTGGTCTCACCAGAGGCTTAATAGGGCACTGGAGTCCCTGAGTGGTACAAATGGTTAACGCATTCAGCTGCTAACTGAAAAATTGGAGGTTCAAATCCACCCAGAGGCACCTTAGAAAAAAAATCTGGCAATCTGCTTCCAAAAAATCAGCCATTGAAAACCCTATGGAGCACCTTTCTTCTCTGACACACATAAGGTGGTCATGAGTTGGGGGTGACTCAGTGGTAACTGATTTGGTTGAGACCCCTTTAAGATACACAGCCATCCTCAGACATACTCAAAACACAGTTGGAAATAGGCACTAATGACGGTCCCTGCACGCCTGTCCAGAAGCCAGGCTCAGGTGCAGGACATAAGAGAGAATGGGTCTGACTATCATTTGACTGGTAAATGACCCAGTGCAAACAAGGGCGCCTTTCTGGTCGAGATGCTGAGCCCAGGGGACGTGGTGGCTGCTCCCGTAGTCATGGGAGTGGAACTTCCTGGGACAGCAATATTGAGTGTGGAAGTCCCAGACACCGTTGAGACAATTCCAGGGGATGCTGTGGAAGAGATAGATCCTAGGAGGGCAAAGGGGAAAGTGGCTGGAAGAGACCCAGGTGAGACCAAAAGCAGAAATCACGTCCAATGCAAGCTCAATCAAACTCCCTGCAGGTTTTTGGTAGAAACTAATGAGCTGGTTCTATATAAATCAAAGGACTGAAAATAGCCACAATAATCTTAAAGAAAAAGAAAGTTGAATGACTTACACTACTAGATTTCAAGACTAGCTAGACAGCTGCTGACTCAGGGACAGATACTCAATAAGCAAGGTGCACTCGGGCTTAATTTGATGTGGTGAAACCCAGGTGAAATCGTGTACTACAGATTAGTAAGTAAGCATAATTAGGTCCCTGCATACCTTGCTTACTGTAAGATGGTGCATACCATACTTACTGGTTAACCCGTCCCTGGCTGCAGTCATTAAGCACTGTGGTACTGGAGTCAGAAAAGACAAAATATGGGAACAGAATAGAGTTCAGAAATAGACCCACACATATATGGTCACTTGATTTTCCACAATTTAATGGCAGGGAAAGGAGGAGGACATTTTAAATAAATAGTTCGGGAACAACTGGATATTTGTAAGGAAAAAAACAGAAAAAAAGAACCTTGAACCCTACCTCACACCATACACAGAAATTTAATTTGAGATAGATCGTGGACTTAAATTTGAAAGCTAAAATAATAAAGCTTTTAGAAGATACAAAGGAGAATTTTTTATGATCTTAAAGTAGACAAAAAATATCATTGACAGGATACAAAAGGCATTAACCACAAGAAAAAAAAGTTGATAAATTGAAAAGCAGAAAGAGGGACTTTGTATAACCACAAAAGCAAGGGGAACTGCTTCCAGTGATGTTCTAAGAAACTGCCAGACTTACACTTAGCAGAGCTCCAGGAAGCACCACCAATCCCAAGCTATGGGTCAAGCAAAGGGTTCTTTAGAAATGGTTTAAGCAACAGAAATATCACCTGATGTTGTTGAGATGCTTCCTGAAGTGCTCCCAGAAATGGTTGGAGCTAAAGTCTGAGGACTACTGGGAAAGCCCCCAGAGGCTGAAGAAAGTGTTGAGAAACTCCCAGGGGCTGTTGGGAGACTCACGGAGATAGTGGGGAGATTTGTGGAGGTGGTGGAGAGACCTGCAGAGAAGGTGGGGACACCCACAGAGACAGCGGGGACACCTGCAGAGACAGTGGAGAGACCCCCAGAGATGTCCCCAGAGACAGTGGGGACACCCACAGAGACAGTGGGGAGATGCCCAGAGATGCCCCCAGGGATAGTAGGGACACCTGCAGAGACAGTGGGGAGACCCTCAGAGACTCCTGATAAGGTCAGCTGAGCTGTTGGAAAAAGAAGATAAATTACAGGTTAGAAGTGTTGGCTGACTCTGTGGTCCAGGGCCCACATCCTCACCCAAAGACCCCAAGTTCAGATCCCCACGCTGACCATGACCAGCCAAGGCCTGCAGGCCCAGAAGCAGTAGAAGCAGCTTGGTGTCCATGGTGCTCGTCATAGTGCATTGGCCAGCCCATCTACCTGGGTCTTTAAAGGTTCTGACGCCAGGTGTGCCAGGGTCTCCATTAACACCAAGATCTCCATCCCGAGGGAGAGGTCACCAAGCTGTCTCCAGGGGATTAACCTGTCCCAGCATGATCCCAGGAAGCACTGGGCAAGAGGGACAGTAAGAGCCTGAGGACTCCCCCCCACCTGGCCCTCAGGCTCTTCCCAGACTGGAGACCTATCCCCTAGGCCATAGTCTGCCCTCGGCCCAAACCCTCTTGAAGGGAGAAGGCCAGGTGTCCTACCCCAAGGTCCTCCTCTTGCTCCTAGACATACACCCACTGGAGATCAGGACACATGGATCATGGATCTCTCAGGGAAGCAGGATTTGCAGGGTATGGGAATGGGAGGAGGAAGACCATCTGCGTCTGGGGACTGTGCCTCTGACCCTAGGGAGACCCCAGGGCAGGGTGGGAGGGTGAACAGCTGAGCTGTCTCTTACCTAGACTGCTGCAGCCCACAAAGCTCTCCATTTCTTTGGCAGGGAAGGGGCAAGGGGAAAAGAGGAGGACACATGTCATATTCAGGCAGCTCTGGAGCCAGACTGCCTGCACTGGAGTCCCCATTCTACCACTTCTGGGCTGTGCAATCCTAGGTGGGTCGCTAAATTTTAGTTTTTTCATCTATAAAATGGGCATAATCTAGTACCTACTTCAAAGGGTTGTTATAAGCGTTAAAGGAAATGATGTCTGTAATGTGGCTAGCCGAGTCCCTAAGTGGTACAAATGGTTAATGTGCTCAGCTTCTAACTGACAGATTGGAGGTTCAGGTCCACCCAGAGTCACCTCGGAAGAAAAGCCTGACGATCTACTTTTGAAAAACCAGCCATTTAAAACCCTATGGAGCATAGTTCTACTCTGACACACGTGGGGTCACCATGAGTCAGAGCTGACTCGATGGCAACTGGTTTTTTGGTTTTGTTTTTTAATGTGCCCGACACACAGCTGTGTCAGGATGATGTAGAAAGAGTAGGGAGCACAAGCTGGGAAAGAGGTGGGGGTGCTCCCACTCCTCTCTAAAGAAGACTCAGATGCCCCAAAGCATTCTCTGTGTCCCCAGGCTGAACCTCCTGCTCGTACCTCCTGGGTCTGCTTCTCTTTTTGTCTATTATTTCCCCCATTGTGGTCTTCCTCCTCTGCAATGGGAGTCTGAGAGGTTCTGGGTATCTCACTTTACACTTACAGTGTGGACTGTGTCTGTCTCTCCATTTCCCTTGTCTTGCTTTGGCTCCTTTCCTGGACTCGGCTCTCTCTGCCTCTATCCCTCTATGCTCGGTCCAACTGGTTTTCTAGGGGGTGGGTGTGGAGATGGACATAGAGAGGCAGATAGGAAGACTCAAGGCCTGTGCCCTTGAGTGTACGAGTGTCTCTTCATTCCTGTTGGATTTATGTGACTGGTGTGTCAGTTTGTTGAGCATGTCCCTGTGTGTCTGACATAATGAGGAATGGGTTCTAATCTCTCTGCTTCTGACTTGCTGTGTGATCTTCGCAAGTTACTTATCCTCTCTGGGCCTCATTTTTCTAGTATTTAAAGAGAGATGGTAAACTAGATGGGCCTCCAACTCCTTTTCCATTCTAGAACTCTACAAATCTGTCCTGTGTTTACCATTCTGAGTGCCAGTGTGTAAGGGTGTTGGTTGGTAGTATATGGGTGTCCCTTTTGCATGAGTATGCAAGGCAGGGAGTGGAAGGAGTGTTTAATGAAAACTCATGCCTCCACCTGAGTATCTAGGATGATACAAAACATTCAAAGGTGGAAGTTCCCCATTACCCAGATTTCTCACCTAGAAAGCCACAGTGGCAGGGAGAGTGAGACACTTGGGTTTGGGAAGGAACTTGGCTAATCCACCCCTCCCTTTTGGACCCACATTCCTGAGCCATTCGGTGGCATGGATGATGGAAATTAATTGCAGTTAATAATTAATCCCTAAAGAGCGATGAGAGACCCAGGCCTGGGTGGGGCCCAGACACCTGCAGGAGGGGCACTTCCTGATCCTGAGTTCCCTCTCCACTTCCCTTTCTGTAGGACCTGGGCACCTTGAGCCTCCAGACATGGGGGAGGAGGTAGGGTGCAGGGTTGAGGAAGAAGAGGACCCCCTTCTACTTCTCCCAAGGGCCCAGTGAATGGCCCTCTCCTGGGTCCTCGAAGCCATACTGGGAGAACTGGAAAATCCAGTTTCCCAGCTTCCCCCTCTCATCTGCCCCTAAACCCCTGCACTAAGGACTGCATGGGGTATAGGAGAGCAGGACTTAAGGAGCAGCCAGCCGGGTCTTCAGATATCTCTTCAGTCATCCCAGAAGCAAGATGGCCATGATGGGGGCCGCGCTGCCCCTCTTCCTCCTCTTGACTCTCCTGTGCAACTCACACGAAACAGGTGAGGGCTGCAGGGCTGGACACCTGGGTCTTGTGCCAAGAACAGGCCTGAGAAGGGGAGTGGGACTCTTTGGTCCTGAGAGAGATGGAGGCCCCCAGACCTGAGCCTCCAAGGATTCAGGGTGGAGGGGAGGAGGGAGTGTGAAGGGAGCATGGGGAAGGAGGAGTGCCTGCACCCCTGGTTGCTGGGTCCTAAGCCATACTTTTGGGTCCCTAGGGCCAGGTATGACTTTGCAACTGAGGCTGAAGGAGTCTTCTCCAGGAAATTCCTCCTATGACTCCAGCTTCCTGGGATTGCTCGAGAAGGTAGTTCTTTGGGTGTGGAAAGAATGGGGCTGTGTGAACTTCGAGTGTGTTTCTCTGAGTCTGTTTGGGCCACTCAGTGAGGGTCTGGCTGTCTCGGGGTGTGCGTGAGGAGCCATCTTACACCTCTCTAACCCTTTCTCTTCCCCAGCTCTGCCTCCTCCTACATCTCCCACCAGGGACCAATGTCACCCTCCATCATGCAGGATCCCTACAGCGTGTCACCTGCAAAGTCTGAGAGCAGTTAGCCCTGTGCCCCTCTTGGCCAGGGCATTTGGCCTCTGGGGTGTTGGGTGTATCCTGGCCCTGTCTTCCAGCAGGCCCTCCCCTACGGAGGGGCAGTAAACATGCTGAATTCAAAGAGTCAACTCTGTGTCCACGAGTGTGGGGCTGGCAGGACAGAGCTGGATCCCAAGTCTGACTCTCCCCTCAGGGCTGTTGAGCAGAGGGGCCGGTGATGGACACTGTCTCCCTCAACTTCAAGGAATCTGGGAATTAACTCTCTGGGGCCACACACACACTGGGGACACACATACACACTTCCAATTGAGATCTTCAGAACAGATGGGAATAGAAAAGAAATATTGATTGAATTCCTACTTTGTGACAGGCATGTTTTCCCATTCCAATGCTTGCAGCAGTCGTGAATGTAGGCGGGTGTTTTTTGTTGTTGTTGTTGTTTTCAGTTGTCAACAATCAACTCCAACTCATGGTGGCCCCACATAGTCAGAATAGAACTGTGCTCCATAAAGTTTTCAATGACTGATTTTTTTGGGAAGTAGATTGCCAGGCCTTTCTTCCAAGGCACCCCTGGATGGATTCGAACCACCAACCTTTTGGTTAGCAGCTGAGTGTGTTAACCTTTTGCACCACCCAGGGACAAATGTAGTGTAATGGGTATCGTTATCCTATTTTACAGATAAAGAAATTGAGGTTTAAACAGGATTTTCATTTCATCTCCCTTTGCTTGAGCTGTGGGGTTGGGGACTCAGGAAACCCAGCAGGGATGTGGACAGAACACCCTAGGACACAGTCTCCTGACACAGTGACCCACACAGGTCCATCGGGGTAGGATGTGGGGTGGGAGGCAGCTCAGGTGAGTTCATCTCAATGACTCCTGGTAAAAGGACAGCCAGCTGGGCTGCAGCGGTGGGGAGGAGGGTGTCAGCAGTGCCTGTACTGGCCAGACTTGTGAATGGATAGTCAGTCACACAGGTCCCAGCTTGAATCTGGGCAAGCTTTTATTCTCTCAGAACCTCAATTTCTTACCTACAAATTAAGGGGAATAATAGCTCCTGCTTCACAGGATTGTCGGGAGGATTACATGGCTAAGACACCCAAGGCGCATACCACAGTGCCTGGCATATGCAAGTGGGCATGGATGGTAGCTTTTGTTATCAGGATGGAAACTTGGTCCCAACATGTAATTTCTAGTCCCCATGGGGGCTCAGGGTTCTCCTTACCTGCTTTCCTCTGAGCCAGGTACTTAACTGACTCTCCTCCTCAAGATTGTCTTGACTTCTCACCAGCTCTCTTGCCCACACTTGACCATTTGGGGGTACGGATATGATTGCTTTCAATTCTCCACATACCACCCCCCATCACCACCATATGAAAGTGGCTCCTTTGGAGGAAGGTGGAGAAGACTACAGAGCGCCCCAAAGACAAGGGGAGCATAGGAAGTGGGAGACTGGAAACATACAAAACTCCTTCCACCCCGTTTACAATTGTCCTGGTACAATTAGGCCCAAGAAGAGGCAGCCAGGACTCGAGGAGACCAGTATTTCACGACTTGTCCCTAGCCTGCAGCAGTGGGCAGGTGACACCCATGGATCAGGTGTGTAGGGCCCCAAACAAGTAGGGGGGCTGGATGTCTGAATCCCCAAGAGGCTGGAGGAGCAGACAGCTAACTGCTCCTCAACCTGGTTCCTAGATCTCAGGGCCTGGGATCACCAGGGTGTGATTTTCAGATTCTTTTCCAAAAAAAAAGAACACTTCCAAGACTCAAAATAGGGCAGTGCAGTGAAAAGAATGTTTTGGGTTCACCAGATGTGAGGGTGGCAGAGACTGCTAGTTATCCCCCTAATAGCCATTCTCCTCCTTTTAGATAATCATAAATTTTAGCTGAACATATGGCTACCCAACTGAAGTATTTCCTAGCTTCTCTTGCAGCTAGATACACCCATGTGATTAGGTTCTCTCCAATGGGATGCTAGTAGAAAGGAAGTGTCCAACTTCCTGGTAATCCCCTTGAAAGGAAAGGAGCTTCCATTTTCAAGGGAAAAAACAATAATCCTTAAAATGGCCTACAAGGTCCTAGACCAGTGCTTTCCAATAGAATTTTCTATGATGGTAGAAATGTTTTATAATCTGGACTGACCAGTATGGTAGTCACTAGCCACTTGAAATGTGGCCAATGTGAGGAACTGAATTTATAATTTTATTTAAATTACTTTAGATAGCCAAGTGGCTACCACTTTGGACAGCACAACCCTAGGTGATCTGCTTTGAACCTTTCCCACTCCCCACCCTGCCACTTGTCTCTCTGACTTCACCTTCCACTATTCTCTTCACTCTCTGCCCCACCACACTGGTCTTCTTGTAACTTTTTAATACTCCAGAATGCTCCTACCTTAATTTTGCTCTAGTTCTTCCCTCTACCTGGAACACTCTTCTCCCAGCCATCCATTTGACTAGTTTCTGTACCTCTGCCAAGGCTTTGCTTAAATCTCATCTTTACGAGTTCTACCCTAACCACCCACTTAATACTATTACCTGTCCCCCAATATATGCAATCCAGAGTCCCCTTACCTTACTCTTTCTTCCTCCCACAAAGCACTTACGACCTTCAAGCATACTAGTTTAGTTGTTATTTATGTAGATTGTTTATTTCTGACTCTACCTCCTATGAATGAAAGTACAAGGGTAGAAATCTTTGTTTCATTCTCTGATGAATTCAAGTGTCCAGAACAGGGACACATAGTAGGTACTCAAGAAATATTTATCAAACTGGAAGGAAAGAGAAACTTCACACCCCTTTCTTTCCTTCTTCCTTCTGGGTGGGAGTGTGGACATGATGACAGAAGCTGGAGCAGGTCTTTGCCCCAGAGCTGCAAAGTTTATTGGAATGGCAGAAAAATAAAAGGGGTATGAGCCCCATTTTTGTGGAGCCCTGCACTGCTCACACCCATTAAAAGAAAATTCCATCCTGTCTAAGCCGCTCTTACATTTGAAGGTTTGTTACAGCAGCCAGGAAGAGCTCGCACCTAATTTACTGGGCTGAATCCCAGCTGCCCAGCTGAGACCTTGGACGAGTGACTCTCATTCTCTGAGTACATTTCATCTCCAAAACAGAGCTAACACCCACCCATTAGGTTCTTGGGAGGATTAAATGGCACTGTATGCCTGACACCACGTGGAGGACCCAGCCGATGATAGGCCTCCATCACCAGTAGCTGCTCAGAGATGCTGGACAAAAATGTGACTTGGAAGTGAAAGGGCCAGTCCCCGGAATTCCGGTGAGCTGAGACAAAGTGTCTGGGGTGGGTAAGGTGGGTGTCTGTATATCAGAGTGTGTAACTCAGTCAGGGCTTGGGCAGTGTGTCTCTGGCACGTTGGTCTCAGGTGCACAGAAGGTGAGGGGCACTCAACCCCAGCACACCCCACAGCCCCTCAGGCCCAAGGGAAGTCCCTACTCCTCTCAGCACCCCTGGGGATAGGGCCAAGGAGCACGGAAGCTTCCATTTGGCATGAAGCAAAAGATGAAGGGCCTATTAGAAGTCAGGACATTGTCAGTAAGTCCAGGAAGCAGGTAGGACTGGGATCACTGTGTCCCTGCCCTGCCCCATTACTAGGAAGCTCCCCTTTCCTCCAGAGAGGCAGGCATATCCCAACACCCACTCTCCCACAGCAACCCCAGAGCCTGAAGCTAAGAGGCATCCCTTCTCTTTCCTCAGGGAACAATGAGGCAAGAATGTCACCACTAAGGGAAGAGGACAAAGGACTACAAGCAGGCATGTTTTGGATTTTAAAGTTTATCTGGATTTCCTCATTCCTAAACTTCACACTGCACACTGAGGGGCCGGGCAGGCGCATGAGCCTCTCCAGGGCACACACAGTCACCCAACCAAGCCAGCCTGTTTCCTTGTTCACAACACGAGGGAGGGCCAACAGTCTGAGGTTCCAGCCCGCCACAGCTGACAAATGTGTTCTCAGAGGCAGGTTTGGGAGAGAGGAACACTGACAGGGATGGTGAAAGCTAGAGCTCAACACTCCCGGGGCTGAAACTCCTCCATCAGCTGCCGCAGGTGAGAGGCTGCCTTGTCTAGTTTCAACAACTCCATTTGGAGGGAAGAAAGCTGGTTGAGGAGAGAAGATGGTGAGGACCCAAGGATGAGGCCTGTCCCCTTGCAGCCCACGTTCCCTCAGGAGCCCCACAGGCTTCCTAGGTAGCCTTCCCTGGCCTCACCCTTTGCTGCCTCTGTGTCTCTGCCGCCCCGTGAGATGGGGTCCGGGCTAGGAGGTCCTCAAGCTGCTTCTGCAACTTGTGTCTTCGGGCAGCCAGCAGAGGTAGATGGGTCTGGGGGTCCACCAAGCCCTAGGGAAGAACAGGGAGAGACGACTCAGACTCTGCAGGCCACCCAACGCCTCCTTCTCCCCATTCTAAGGTCCCCTCCTCACCTTTATAGAGCCCACCTTCCTAAATGTCTTCTCAATCCCTCCCTCTCTCCCCTCCAATCTTCTCTGGTCACCTGCAGCTCCATGAAGATCTGAACAGTGTCACTGAGTGGAGCCTGGGCCCAGCCGGAGGGAGCTGCCGCACCTGGGGATAGGAGGCCCACAGCCCCGCAGTGGCCCAGGGTGCCCAGGGGCTCCAGGAAGGCCTCAAAGAGGCCCTGCTCGCCCAGCTCCGAGCTCTGCAACAGCACTGGGAAGAGGGAGGCTCAGGTCAAGTGTCTATCCTTCTTTCTTCCCACCCTATGCTTCCCAACTTTGGGATCTGTTCCACCAGGCTATCCCCTCTTCCCTGCCAGCCCCTTCTTCCCAGAGACCCAGTGCCCAGGACCCGCCTCACCTCGGGGCCGAGCCTTGGTGAGCTGGTACATGGCCCGGAGAGCCCGAAGCCCCTGCGCGGCCTCCTGGACCTGGGAGAAGCGCTGCTCCAGCTCAGGCTGGCGCCAGTGCTCCTGGGGACAGGGACCAGAGCTGACAAATGGGCTCCATCCTCCACCCACCCATCCCATGTCCTTAGGGCAACGAGATCTGTCATCTCCACCACACAAAATTCACCACCTCAAGGAATGAAACATGGCAAAAATGGAGAGTCACCTATGAAGATTTTAGATAACCAGTGGTTGTTGTCTATCTACTGGGCTCTGATTGTAGATAACAAACAGCCCAAAATAAATTTAAATTACAAATTATTACTCAAAATGCACAAAACCAAATAAGTGTAAAAACAAATTTAAATAGTTAAACTTTAAAATGATTTTTTGGGTGAGTTTATGGCATTTATTTTTCCTTCCAGTTATTAAAGCTTAAAACTGCACTGAGGTGGCCATGAGTTGGAACTGACTCGATAGCAATAGGTTTGGAGTTTTTTTGTTACTAACTCATCTAACCCTCATCCCAGCCATGGCACGTACTATTACTACCCCGAGTTTAAAGATGGAGAAAACTGAGACACGGTCACACAACTAGTGTCAGTCTAGCAGAAGTCTTGTTCTTGACCACTATACCATACTACCCCCCAAGACCCCAAAGTAATGATAGCACCCCTGCAGTAACAACCCACCCTCTCGAAGACATGACAGTAAACTGTGAACCATCATTGTAAATGACATCATGGCAGCAAAGCCTTTTATGAGAGCACCAAATCCTAACCACTAGACTACGAGGGAGCATCAGCAAACCCTTTTAGACTACTCTCACAGCCCATCCCCAAGACACCATATCTGTGCGTGACTCACCAAGCTGTGGGCACTGGGGTACGGGGCAACACAGATGCTGGGGGCGGGGGAGCAGCCTGGCCTGCTGGGCAGCCGTTGCCAGAGCTCCTCAGCCAGGAAGGGCATCAGTGGGGCAAGGAGGCGGAGGCCAACGTCAGCACAGAAGAACAGGATCTGAGGCGGCCCCGAGGGGTGGGGGGAACGTGCCAGCACCGGCTTCACTGCCTCCTGGGGAGGAAGCCAGTGGGTCAGAGGATGGGCCCGAAGCCAGCTCCATCCTCCCTACGTGTGGGACACTGTGGGTAAAGGGCAGTTCCTGGGAGAGAGGAGGGGCAGAGGCACTCAGCATCCCACACCACTAGGGAGCCCAGGACATGCTCTGGAGCGTGAGAAAGGGGGGAAGTCTAGGACAGTGACTTTCAAAGGTAAGTGGGAAATACGATTTCCAGAGAGGCATGTGTAGTTTAGGAAGAAAAGCACTAAGTGTTTTGCTTATTAAAAGGCAACATGGGTTTTTTCAAAGGTTGAGAGACAATGATGTAGGGCAGTGGTTTTAAGTGTGGTCCTGTGCCAGCAGCATCAGCATCGACTTGTCAGAAATGAAAGTTCTCACCACCCTCACCCTCAACCTGCTGAATGAGAAGCTGTGGGGCCTGGAATCTGTGCTTAACAAGCCCTCCAGGTGCTTCTGAGACAGCAAGTCTGAGAAGCCCTGGTCTGAAGACCACGCCACTCTTCCTCCCAGGCCTCTCCTAGCCCCAGCCTATCTAGGGCCCACGCTCAGCAATCACAGGGGCTGACACAAATCCCTGTCTGCCTCTGAGCCTAATCTCCAGAAGTGCCCCCTCTTCCTTCCCCCAAGTGAAAGGCAGGAAACAGTGCCCAGGCTGCCCCACAGAAACAAGGCCCAGGAAAGAGGGGAATGGAGACTTCCTGTCTCATCTCCTTTCCTTTCCTGAGAGGACAACAGGAACTTAACTTCACAGCTCCCCGCCATGGAACCTGAATTCAAGGGGAATTAGAAGCAGGTCTGCAGGTGTGGAAATGCCAGGCCTTGCCCCTGCCTCACTCACCAGGTAAGTGTCACAGAGGTTGTGGAGCCAGAAGTGGTGCAGAGTGTGAGTGACGAGCGAGAGCTCGCGGGTGAGGAAACCCCGCTCACACTGTTGGGCAGTGAGGGCGAGGCGGCTCAGGATCCAGGCGTCCACGGGGGATGCGGGAGACAGCTGCGGGCAGAAGGGGGTTCAGGACAGGGATGGCTCCCCTCTTGCTCATCTCTTTTCCTTCAGCCTTTGCTTTCCTCAGAGCTGCCTTCCTTAGACATCTGATGACGCCCACTTGGAAGCACCTCTTCTTCCTCTCTTACCTCCTCTGCAGGCTCGGGTGTGAATTTCTCCCCCAGGACGTTGAGGATAAAGCGCAGAGCATTCCAGATCTTGTTGCAGAAATGTCGGGAGCTCAGAACTTCAGAGATAGACAGGTTCAGGTCACCCCCTGGGAGGGGAGGGAAATGAGGGAGTCTGTGCATGGGCAGCAGTAGCACAAGAAGCCCCCAGTCCTGCCTGCTCTGCCCTCTCTGCACTCCAACACCTCTCTTGCCTAGGGCTGGCCCGGCTTACCCAGGGCTCCATGGGAGCACAGTGTGAATCTCAGGGCATCTGTCCCACACTCGGGGATCCCGTGAGGGAAGTCCTTTCTCTGCAACCAGAAGAGAAGACGGGTGGCAGATGCCTAGGTGGCTGCAGGGCCAGAAGCCTGGGTTGCGGAAGAAACTGGTGGCTGTGAGCTAGAGGCTGGGATGGCACAGACACCACAACTCACTTGTGCTGTAGCTGCAATCGCCAGCTCTGCAGGATCCAGGTTCCCATCCCTCAGCTTCTCCTGCAGCACCTGGGGAGGGGTAAGTGGTTCACGGGCCTTGCTCGGAGGCCTTGCCCCCAAAAGTGACACCTACTGTCCCCCATCCCTCTATCCCTCCTAGTGACTCCCCCAACTCCCCTCTTTGATCCCTTGTGCTGGATGGCATCCAGACCTGCAGCTCTGCCCCAATGATGATGTCCCTCGGGTCCAGCACATTCCCCAGGGACTTGCTCATCTTCCGGCCCTGCCGGTCCCGAACCATGGAGTGAAGAAGCACCTGGGGGCATGGAGGGAGTCAGGAGAGGAGGGCTTGGAGAGCCTTTCCTTGGAGAGTAACTTGGGATATTTGGTCTCTGTACTTTGCGGATTAAGGTAGGAAATGAATCAGGAAAGAGGAACCAGGAATACAGAAAACACTGCACTGGGGGTTAAAGCTGGGAGGACAAGGTTTAGGGAAAGCTGGGGCGGGGCACTGGAGGGCTGTTACCTTGCTGAAGGGGAGCTGCCCCGTGAGCTGGGTCCCCAGCATGACCATGCGGCCCACCCAGAACAGCAGGAGGTCACTGCCCGTCTCCAGAAGTGACAGGGGATAGAAACGAGCGAGGTCGGGGGTCTAGGAGGAGAGACAGGCAGTAAGAGGCCCCACCCCTGGGTCTTTAGCTCTTCTCAAGACTTTGCAGGCACCCAGTGTCCCCTTTCTTCAGCACCCCACCTTCACGGACTTTCCCTCTCAACCCATCTCACCTCTTGTGGCCAGCCCAGAGCAGAAAAGGGGAAAAGAGCCGAAGAGAACCATGTGTCCAGGACGTCAGGGTCTGGGAAACAGAATAGCGAATGAGGACAACTGGAACCTCGGCTTCTGGGACCTCAGACCACTGCTGCCCACCCTTTTAGCCCAACCCCAACCCCACCCCAAGAAACCAGGGGTCTGGCTCTATGCCCCACTCCCACCCTTCCCAACTCTACCTTCTCCATCTCAAATCTGCTCCCCTCAATAGACCCAAACCCACCCCCCACAGCCCAGGCACTCACCCCTCTCCAGGGTCAGCTCTGCCCCTGGCCTCCCTGTCAGTTCTGCAGCTGCCTCTCTGGCCTCAGCTTCTGACCTCCCAACCACCCAACAGTCTTCCCCATCACCCTGCAAAAGAAGTAAGGGGTGAGGGGACAGTGAGGAGAACAATGGCAACTGATGGGTATAAAACAGCTCTCAGTTTTCATGCTCTTTCATGGGGTCTTAGGCTGGCTGGCACCCTCTGGGAGTTAAGATGAAGACACAGGTGTGGAGAGCTTTTGTCATGACTAAGACCTAAGATGTGAAACACAGTGACAGGGAGCTGGGATTGGCACTGGAAATCCTGACTCCTAGCCTAAGGCTCTTTCCTCCTGCCCACCCCTCTGTGGCTCCCTCCTACAAACCTTTACCTGCTCTTCTACCACGAGGTAGGCTGGGATCTGATGGCCCCACCACAGCTGCCGGGAGACACACCAGTCCCTGCCAAGAGGACTCCGTGATTTCTCAGCATGACCAGTGCATCCCCATCCCCATCTCGGTGACAGCGCCCCTTGCCCTTACCCAATGTGGGAAAACCAGTGCTGCCAATTCTTCTGGTGGAAGGGTGGATGGAGCCCGAGGGCCCCCGACTCCACGGCCTGGAGGGAAAGGGGCCTTTAGAGAGTGCTTCCCTTCCTGCACTTGCAGTCCCCTGGCACAGAACAAGTGGGTCCGAGGTGCTTTTAAAACTAGAGAGGACCTCCCAAACCCCCTGCAAATTTCCTGGGGCTTGAGTTAGGATACGAGCCAGGCCTCCATCTGCACAGCGCTCCTCTCAATGACCACAGCTAGAGAGAACTTCAGGCAGAAGATCCTCCCACCACCTTGTTCTGTCATTCCAATTCTCAGGGAGCTCCCCAGCCCCAGACCCCCAGGTCCTTCCCAGCATTGCAGCCTCACCTTGGCAGCCTGGTCCCCCATTTCTCGGCAGCGGACAAACCACTGGCTCTTCAGTAGGTATTCTACCACATCCCCGGATCGGCTGAAAGGGAGCAAGGGTGAGTGTGCTGCGTCTCCAGCCCTGTGCCTTTCTCCCAGGGAGGCGGGGCCTACTGCGTGCCAGGCCTTGGTACCAAGGGGACAGCAGTGAGTAAAACTGACCCAGAGAATGTATTCTGGTGCGGGGTGCAGAGCCATCCCATTACCATTCTGCAGCCTCATCCATTACCTTTTAGGGGTGGCTCTAAGCAAAGAGGTTAAAATGGGGCTACCTGCAGATGGGCAGCACCATGGGGTGGCTTTGAAGGTCCCGGAACAGTCCCCGTTCCCTCAGTGCAGACATAATCTTCTCCCGGGCCACAAACCGGTGAAGACCCTGGGGAAAAAGCAGCAAGAGCAAAGATTAGAGGCCTCTAGAAAACGAGAAAGTAGAAGGGGGCAGAACACTGAAGCTGGAGCCACCTGCAGCCAGTCCCCACAGAGCGAGGTCATGGTCCCATCCTCTGCGATGACACTCTGGGGGCTCAACCCATGCCGGGCTCCCATCTCAGCATCAGCAGGGCTGTGGGCCGGCGTCACCTTCACTGCCCCTGGGGGAGTGAGCGGCAGTGAGCACTTAACCCTACCCTTGACACTTCCTTTTCCAGATGTATCATCATTGCCCACGGCTCCCCACTCCCCCCGTGCCACCCCCCCTCTTCTCTATACTCCTATCCCTCCCCCCATCCTCCCCCACCCCACGACCTTCACTCACCTGTGCCCAGGTGTGGCTGGACAGCGGAGTCCGTGATGAGAGGGAGAAGGTGTCCAGTCAAGGGATGACGAAGTTGCCGCCCATGTAGATGCTGAAGGGAAGGGAGAAGGATCAAGGCAAGCACATGTGTGCAGTGGGAAGGTTTGCTGTGGGGCCTGAGAGTCCCTGGGAATAAACAGGGTGAAAAACCAGAAGGTAAAGAACTAGAGCAGGGGTCAGCAACCTTGTTCTTAAAGGGCCAGAGAGTATTTCAGGTTTTGTGAACAAGGAGCAAATTCAGTCTGTCACAACTACTCCACTCTCACACTGTAGCAAAGCTTGATGAGACAGCCATAGATAGCACATAAATAAATTAGCGTGCCTCACAAAGACACACGTGGTGGGCCGGGTCTGGCCCACGGGCCATAGTCTGTCTACCCCCTAGCCAGAAAACAAGCGTAACATCAGGGAGAGAAGGAAGTAGAATCAGGGCCATTGAAAAGCTGAGATGAGAAACGATGTCTTAAGAAAAGGAGTGGAAACAGGAGAGAAGGCACCATCTTAAAAAGAAGGGAAGAGAAATGCATGCAAAAAGCAGGCCAGGGCAGCATGGGTGTACTGTTCATTACTGTGTATCGGGAGTCATCGGGGTGGACTGCCACAGCCACGTCTCCAGGCAACGTCTCTGGCCTCGTGGTTCCTATCACGACCTCGGCATCTGAAGACAAACATCTGCTCATACCTGGTCACCACCTCATCACTCACTCCCTACACATCTACTACCAGTAGAACTGGAAATAGGAGGGGGCAGGAAGTAGTCAAGATTGAATGGGTCCCAGGAGTCTAACTGGAGAAAATTAGGGCCAATGTCTATAGAAGCCTGGGGTTCCCTGTTAACAAATGACAAGAAGCCTGAGAGGGTACCTGGTGCTAAGAATTCCTCAATGACTTGAGCGCGAGAAACAGGAGAAAAGGATTAATATAAGCAACTAGAGTCCTTTCTTAGGAGCCTTGGCGGCGCAATGGTTAAGCGCACAGCTGCCACCCAGAAGGTGGGCAGTTCAAAACCACTAGGTGCCCCACAGGAAAAAGACGCGGCAGTCTGCTCCCATACAGATTATAGCCTTGGAAACTCTATGGAGCAGTTCTACTGTCTTACAGTGTCGCTAGGAGTCGTTATCAACTCAACAGCACCCAACAACAACAACAGAGTCCTTGCTTGGTGCCCAGAGGACACTGCGGGGTTCTCAGTGTTCTAATCACAAATCCTGTGCGTTCTGCAGGGCTAGCACCAGCCCTTCAAACGAGAAATGCCCTCTAACTAGTCCACCTCAGCTTTCTCTTTTCTGAACGCGTCAGAACATTTAGAACTGATCTTTTATCTCTTTCCTGGGCAGCAGATACCTACAGAACTAGACAAACCTCCCAGAAGACAGTAACAATACTCAAGCAATGTGCCCAAAGTAACACATACACATACAAAGGTGCCTTGTGCAACCTCCCACTGGCTTTCCCATCAGCCTGACAGGGGCTCAAGAAAACAGGGGAAATAGAGGTCAGCGGGCAGCCCTTCTGTGGACTGCACTCACCAGGCTCTCCATCCACAGGGAAGGCAACAGAAACAAGGAGGCCAAAAGAAACCGGGGCGGGGCAGCCGGGCAGTCGAAGCTCCGTGCGGCCCGGCAGGGGCCGGCTCTCCACCTGGAGAGGGTGAGGAAGCAGCGTCCGAGAGCAGCGTTTCTGCAAGGCTCACACCCACATCTCCCACTGCCACCCGTGCCTTCCACCCTGGCCTCCCTGCAGTCCACGAAAAGATGCGGGACCACAAACCTCTCCCCTCACCTATTTTCTTGTACAATGATCGTTACAGCAAATATTCATGGAGCATTTAAACCATGGCCAGATAGTGTGCTAACACTTTACATGAGCCCTTATTTAATCCTCACAACACTCCCACAACGTAGGCACTTCCACCGTCCCTAATTTACAGATTGAGGAAGCTGAGTCTTAACAAGGCTAATCTGCCAAATGTCACACAGCTCTCAGATGGCAGGACTGGATTTGAATCCAGGCGGTCTGGCTCCAGAGTCTGAGTTCTTACCGACTCTCCTACCTTGCCTCAGAGCTCTCCAAACCTGCTTCTCTTTCACTGCCTCACCTCAATGTCCGAGATGGCTGATCTTAAAGCACACGACCAGTTGACAAGCTGCCGGTTCCGGTACAACAGCCCCGCCTTGTAGAGTCGCACAAAAGCTTCAGTCACGGCCACTGAGGAGCCCTAGAATGACCTGAGCGTCCACATCCGACAGCCGCTTCTCAGCCTATGGCCCCACTCAGGACCCAAGCATTCTCACCCCCTGCCCCCAATGCAAGGGGACCTAGTGGGACAATGGTTAAGCACTCAGTTGCTAACCAAAAGGCCAGTGGTTGAAACCCACCAATGACTCTATGGGAGAAAAAACCTGGCAATCTGCTCCCCTAAAGATTACTGCCTAGGAAATCCTATGGGGTAGTTCTATTCTGTAATATAGAGCCTCTGTGAGTCAGAATTGACTTGATGGCACACAACACCCCCAATGCACACAACAGTCACCTTCTCTGTACAGATCTCTAAGCACCCCACCCCACCACCGCCCAGGAACCAAGGCATCAACACTCACAGCGTCCATAGTGAAGCACTCTCGATCCCAGTCCAAGGAGGCCCCCAGCATGCGGAGCTGCTCACAGATCTCCCCACCCTTCCTGTGCCCAGAGAGAACGCTCGTCAGCAAGCACAGCCTGAGTACCTCTCATGGACCAGGCCCAGTGATGCCCCAGTAGTGCTTGGTGCTGGGGTAAAATAAGAGGGAGTACAGCATTGATCCAGCCTCTAGAAGCTAATGGAGACACACAACCCCACGTGGGGCCAGCTACTAATTGAAAGGTCGGCAGTTCAAACCTACCCAGCAGCTCCACAGGAGAAAGACCTGGCAATCTGCTTCTGTAAAGATTACAGCCTAGAAAACCTTACGGAGCAGTTCTACTCTATCATACGGGGTTGCTATGAGTGAAAATCGATGCAAGAGTAACTAACAACAATAACGTGACATTAAAAGAAACAAAGTTCTACAGTAACAGAGAAAGAGACAACCAATTTGTGGGAAATCCAAGGAAGCTTCATAGAGAAGATGACATTTGAACATAAAGCCAGAAGAAAGAGGGTGATTTCAGTAGATGGAAAGCGAGAATGGGTGAGTGAGACAGGTGATGAAATCTAGGCAATGGAATTAGTGGCAAAAAAACAAAAATAAAACAATATATACACACACACACACTCCCAGTCACTAGTTGCTGATAAGTCATTTGCGACTCATAGCGACCCCATGTGTGTCAAAGTAAAACTGTGTTCCGTAGGGTTTTCAATGGCTGATTTTTTGGAAGTAGATCGCCAGGCCTTTCTTCCAAGGCACCTCTGGATGGACTTGAACCAGCAACCTTTCAGTTAGCAGCAGAGTGCATTAACTGTTTGCACCATCCAGGGACTCCACCCAGAACACAGTAGGGGCTTAAAACTATTTACTGAGAATGAGACACAGTCTTTGCCCTCAAAATGTCATAGCCTCACAGGGGAGACTAGACCAATGGTGCCCAGTAAGAAATACAATGCAAGCCTCATATGTAATATTAAATTTTCTAGTAGCCACATTAAAAATAGGAATAGTTAAACTGAATTTTAATATTACTTTAACCAAATATAGCTCCAAAATTGCATTTTTTTTTTACAGTTGCCATGGAATTGATTCCAATTCATGGCAACCTCAGCATGTCACAGTAAAACTGTGTTCCATAAACACACATATTTGTGAAGCCCTGGTGGCGCGGTGGTTAAGAGCTCAGCTGCTAACCAAAAGGTCAGCAGTTCAAATCCACCAGCCACTCCTTGGAAACCCTATGGGGTAATTCTATCTGTCCTATCGGGTGGCTATGAGTTAGAATCAACTTGATGACAATGGGTTTCGATTTTTTTGGTTTTCAGTTAGTAGCCAAGTGCAAACTGTTTGCACCACCCAGGAACATATTTGTGTACACACGTATATATAATATTACATAAATACATTAAACACTGAGAAGCCTACCAAATGCTGAGAGGTCCTAGAGATTACGTTTCTGACAAAAATTAGGCCTCAGGTGGGAAAAGCCATTCTTCAGGAAAGAATGGGCTTGGAATCCAGGACCCAAATCTCTGGTATCTCGGCCCCTCCATCCCTGCCCCTCATACTCACTCCTCCTTCCACTTCCACACTTCCCTCAGGAAGGCTTCCCGGCTCAGCTCATGTCTCCTCACTCCCTGTTCCCTCCATAGCTGTTTCTCCACCACAGCCTACATAGGATAAGGAGCAAATAAGCTAAAAATAAGGTAGCTTTGGAAGAAAAAGTCTTTTTCACCAATAAAAGTAAAACTTGACAAAAGGCATACTTGTGTAGCTATTCCTGCGTGATCTGAACCAGGGACCCACAGCACCTGATCCCCACGCATCCGGTGCCTGCAGTGAAATACCCTGACGTGAGCCCTGGGCTTACATGCTACCTCGCGCCTCCCCCTCCACCTTGCTACTTCCCCTCCAAGAACTCAAGCAGTCCCATTCCACTCTCACCAGCGAACAAGGGCATCCTGTATGGCCACGGTGAGTGCATGGCCGATGTGCAGGGAGCCAGTGACGTTAGGGGGTGGGATACACATGGAAAAGATTTCCCCTGTGGCCTGGGGCAGCTGGGCCTAGGAAAGAGAAGTCAAAGGGAAAGAGAGAATTAGACGTCACCTGGGGGAATAGCCCCCTCTGGTGTCTCCAGGGCAGAAAGAACTGCACAGAACAGTCCTGCAAATAAGACGGAAGGGAGGGACCAGCCAAGAGAAAGGTTTGGAGATGCCAAGGACCAAAGACAAGCTCTCTCACATTCTTTTGGAGTAGGCTCTGCAATATGACTGGCTGTGAGCTCCAGACTCTACAAGTCACTTGGTCCCTTCCCTGCCAGGTACTAACCTTATATTCTGGTTTGAAGAAGCCTTCTCGCACCCACCAGGGGTACCAGGCAGCCTCAACATATTGGGGGCTGTATGCAGGAGGCAGGGGCCTGGAGACATCTGTGAAAGCAAAGGACAGTTGCACTAACCACTGAACTTTGTTCCCATACTGCATTTCAGCAGACCAAATGGGCAACAAAAATGTGACAGAAAAAGCCATCAAGTTCCTAGGTTACCTTTCTTTTCACCAAGTTCTGTAGGGATTTCATACAATACTATCTCCTTAGGAGTCCAGGCCTTACTGGATCCTGCAGGTGACTGGAGATGGGGGGACAGGTATCAGAAGGGGTGGGTGCAATTCCCAGGATACCCAGCCACCTGGATCCCAGCCCCATATGCTCCCCCAGCTTCCTCCAAGTCTTCTCAGAGACTCAAACTCTCTGTCGTCTAACCTTGTTCTTCCCAGTTATCCCAGCCTCCAGTGCTGCCTGCCTCTCCCGCAGGCGCTTCTGTTTTGCTTCACGGTTCCTCCGGGAAATGGGGGATCCATGGGGCTCTGGCTGGGTGGAAAGAGGCCGAGGCCTAGGGAGGCCCCGTGACGGTCTCAGCCCCCAAAGTGGCGGTCGAAAAGAGGCCAGAGGCAAATGAGGCATCAGGAGTGCCTGGAAAGGGCCTAGATCTGTTATAGAGAGGGCATTAGGATATGGGGATGTGGAGGGGCCCCCCGTTTTCCAAAGTTACACTCTCCATTCCTATTCCTTTCTTCCTGCTAACCATGGTTTGTTATTCTAAGTATCATCCCCTCCCACACAACCCTTCCTCTGCGAGGACTAGAGTGCAAGAGTGCAGGGTGTCGACAAGGACAGCACCCCGGAATCTCAGAAACTAGGCTTCTTCTGGGGCAGGCTCGGGGTCTCGGGCTCTCAACGTACGCATCTGAGACGTAGGGGTGACCTCTGACACACGGGAGGGAAGAGGATTCGGAAAGACTATGGACATCAGCACGCCCGGGAACGGGCGAGGAGTCCCACCGAGGTGACGGCGATCTTCGAACACCCAGGCGCGGCCAGCAATGTCCCCAGCCCCGCGCAGCCCGGCCTTCCTTCCTGGCTCGGCCCCCGCCGTGCCCCCACCACCTGATTCCCCTCCGCGCGCGCTCACCAGCCGGCCCCGCCGCTATCCCAGGGCGCCCCGCGTGGCAGCAAGGGCTCCAAGCACCGTGAGCCCGACCCCGGAACGTGACCCGCAGTCCGCGCGGCACCAGGAGGCGTGGCCCGCCCGGGCGCATGCGCAGGAGCTAGCCTCAGCCCCACCCCTCCCCGCTCCTGGCAGCCAGATAGTGTACAGGCCGAGAGCGAGCCGCTGCAGAAGGCGAGACCGCGGGGATGCGCTTGAGCCATTGGGTTCACGTCCACAACTTTATTAAACAAGAAAATCCCAACGTGTAAATAAAAAAACACCTGAGTTCTGAGGCAGCCTCTATGCGGCTGGCTGGGCCCGCCCGCTCGCCCAGTCCCGCCCCGGTCCCCGCACTCAGGAGCTGTGCTTCTGCCGCTTCCAGAAGCGCTTAACGTCGCTGTGCCCGGCCGGCGTGACGACCATGAGCCGTTTGGCGGAGTTCTCGAACACGAGCACGCCCAGCTCCCGCGCGTGGGCTAGCAACAGCTCAAAGTCCACCTGCGACAGGAACTGGTTATACAGGACGCCTGGGGTCCGCAGACAGGAGTGGAGGAGAGAGAGAAAAAGAAGATTGTTAGGCTTGGGGCTACCAACCCCTGAGAGGGGGCCTCAGGGCAGTGGTCTGGGCTTGCCCCCCTTTCCAACAAAATTGCAAAACTAATCTCTGCTTGTCTGCTCAGGGGCTCATGTTAACACTAGTGTGATCCAGCCATCTTCTGGAAGGCAATATAATACAAAAGAAAACCCATTAATGTTCACCAAAACCAGAGAAATTACCGTGCATTATCCGTTCCACTTTCCCTCTTGTAGATAAATTCAACTTACACTGATTTGTGCCACTTTATTTACTGCTACCCTCCCACCCCAAAGTAAAAAGTGTTTGCCAGCTTTTCTCTCCCAGTTCCGGCAGTAAACAAGAAATAAAATAGGTCCGAGTTTTCAGCTCATCAAGGCTGAATTGTCCTTCCTCTAGCCAATGAGCAAGACTCGGCCCCCGGAGACCACTCACCCTCAGTGAACCGGAGTCTGTCCCTTTCCAGCTCCCACAGCCGAATCTGGTCTGTGATGGTGGGGGGCAGCACAGGGGTCTGCAGGGGCAAGGGGTGGCTGTAAGGATTCAGGGAGACTGTCCAGACAACCCCGGCCCCCCATTCATTCCCCAGACTTGGATGTTCCTCTCATTTCCATCATCCCATCACCAGGTGCCTGGGGTTGCTAGCCTCCGGCATCTTGGTACCTAGTTTGTACCTGTTTGAGCATCACTGGGTGGGCCCTTGTCCTTAAGAAATGGATGATCTAGGAAAACAGACAAGAATGGAATGAGGGATAGAGTAAGACGGCACGAAAGCCATCTGAACTGTCACCTAATGCCACTGGAGTATCAACTTACTCTGTTTAAAAACACATAACCACATCCCTCGATACTTGTGCCAAGTTGCTGCTCCCACTGGTCGTATCTGTTATTCCTTCTCTGGCACTTTTGTCCTTTCCAGAGCCTGGTTTTGCTTTCCTTTCTTTAAAGTCACAGCAGCTAATATTTTTTTTAGCATTTACTGCATGGCAGGCTCTGAGCTAAATGCTTTACCTCTAATTGAATCCTCCCAGCAAGCCTGTGATGTAGGAACTGTCATTATTCCCACTTTCCAGACGAGGAAACTGAGGCTCACAGAAGTGACGCAACCAGGCCTAGTTTACATAGCTAGGAAGTGGTGGTGCCGGGACAAAAATTCAGGGTTTCCCTCTCCCTCCACGTTTTTTCCCCTTAAGAGTTTGCCTGTTCCCACATCTAGAGTGCTGACTTCTCCTGTTCCTGGTGCTCAAACACAGACCACTCCCTACCACCTACTGTAACAGACCTGGTGCTAGCCTTCTGTAATGTGACTACCTTGTACGCCACAGCCCAAGTGCAGCCCGTCTTCCCATGTGGGGATACCTGCTGGGCTGTGATGCCACTGGCAATGGCCTGCTGCACACTCTCCCGGGTCACCTGCGCCACCACCATGTTGGGGAAGCGATAGAGCATCTCAGAGAAGAGGGCAATGAGAGCGATCTGCAGCTCCGACTCTTAACGGGGTAAGAAGAGAGGATGAGGACACCCACACCCAGACCCTCTCAAGCCCCTCCTTCAAGTGTGATGAGGAATGCCAGGGAGCTGTGTAAACCACAGGTGTCTGGGAGATGTGAACATAAACCAGCACTCCCCCCTGCTCTCTTCCTCCCCTCCCCCAAGCCTGCCCTTCCAGGCCCTCTGTCCATCCTCACCGGTGTAGGCATATAGTCGGTAATTGGTTTCCACAATGATGAAGCCAGGCTGATTCGCGGTGCCCCCAGCCCCAGAGACACCTGATGAGAGATTGATGGCCAGGCGTGTGGGGTAGTAACGCCGAGATTTCCTCTGGAAGGACAGAAGGGAAGGGCGGAGGGCCCTCTTGCAGGTGTCACTGCCTAATATCTTCCTGCCTAAACCTCAGATCCCTCCTACTGCAAGGAACCTCAGCCCCCAACTTCTCTCCCCCAAGGGACCAAGTTAAGCAGTCCTGGCAACTGCTTCCTGCTACTGCCTCCACCATGGCTTTTCTCTAGAATCCATGTATCTGGGTGCTCATACCTTTCTCTGGAAAACAAGTCCAAACTCACGCAGATGTTGCAGGAAGTTCAACAGAGAATCACTCATACCTTCCACAGAGTAATCCTGGAGAATAGAGGTGGCCACCTGGGGTCCAAAACACATTCCCTCCTCGCTCCCCCAACCCCATACACTCATGACCTCTCTCTCATCTCTGGTCATTCTTTGTTCAATCTTATCTCCTCACTCTACTGCTCCATAACCTGATTTCCCCTTCCCATCACCCTACCCCTCAGTCCACCCACCCAACCCCCAGTTTCAGCTCCCTGCTTACCTTGCCAAGAGTAGAGAAGCTAAGCTGGAAGAGGAAAGAGAGAATCTCCACTAGGTCCATGCCCCGGCTCTAGGGAGGAAGGGGCAGAGACAAAGGGGAGGGATGGGAGGGAGAAAAAAGGAGGAAAGGGACAGAAGAGAAAATCAGGGAACAAAGCCTGCAGGCAGGGGTCTCTTGTTGGGAGTGGTCTCGGGAAGAGCAGAGCAGCCACAAGCGGCTCCTAGGCTTACCTGGGCTGTCTGCAGATACTGCAGCATAAAGTACCAGAGCTGGGCAGGGGTATCCAGCAGCAGGAACTGGAAGCCAGCAGAAGTAATGCAGGGTGGTTCTCCAGGTTCAGCACTAGGAACACAGACAGGGACAATGGTGGAGATACTCAGAGAAAGGCCACCATCCTGACTCGCCCCCTCACTTTTTTTGGGTTTTTTTTTTTTTGTATCTTTGGCCTTAAACTCCACTCAGCTCTCCTTTTTTCAGTCAACCCCTCCAATCCTGACCCTGCCAAGACACCCAGTTTATCAGGGACACAATGAGACAGCAAAGCAGGAGCTGTTATACCTCTTCATGAGCCCAGCCTGGCTGAGGAGCTGGGCCAAGTCCTGGCTGACAGCCGCACTAGGGGAGCCCACCATGAAGTGCAGGACCACCTGAAGAATGGAAGAGAACAGAGAGACTGATGCCTCTAAGGGCCACAGGTAAGTAGCAGCATGAGCAGAGACAAACATAATCCCAAGTGCTCACCTCCCATCGCTCCTCAGCATACTTGTCCAGAGAGGGAACATCCCGGGCATGCTTGTCTGGTCCCAGCTGACTTGTGTCATCAGACCAGGCCTTCCCTCTATGGCCAAGATGGGCCAAGAGTAAGGAACCCGGCCTGTGCTCCCCACCCACCCCCCGTCCCCTTTCCACCCTCATCCCCAAGGACCGTGAGTCGGGGACATTCCCTACCCAACCCAGATACATCTGGTCCAACTGATTCCTTTATAAAGGGGCTCCCAAAGGTATACCCACAAGGTTACAGGGAAGCCCCTTGGGAGTCAGCCCCCAAGAAGATTATCACTTCCTCTGTCCTAGCTTAGGAAGAGACGGAGGTGACATACCCACCCAGAAGGGCAATGCGGAGGTTCTGACGGAAGATAGGGTTGAGGATAAGGCCCTGGAGACCACCAGGGAGCAGCTGGGTGTGCCAGATACGGAGGCCGCTCAGCAGCCCTGTACTTTCCTCCTGAGCCCTGAAACAGAAGCAGAGAGGTGACTGGGGTATCTGGACAACAAGTAGAAGTAGGCCCATAAAGGCTTTCCTTTCCGCCTTTTCTGAACCAGAGATCCTTAGAACACTGTTCCACAGACTAAAATCAGTGTCTTCTTAAATTTCTTTACAGTAAGACTTATCGGAGCCTTTCAGTATACATTGTGACTCTCCAAGAGGAAAAATACAGCATGCAGAGTTCCCCAAACTTAATTACAAGCTTTATGGCATACCCATTAATACTTTCTGGAGGTTCCAAGGAACAACAGTTTGGGAAATACAGCTACTGGGAAATCTGTATCTGGCTGAGACGGTAGTAGAGACTCACTTGCTGAAT